TCATATATATATATATATATATATATATATATATATATATATTTTTTTTTTTTTTTTTTTTAAGTGTGGCCATAGTATATAAAAAGAGACTACATCCTTCTTCTCTCAGACCCCTTCATCCTTTAGACCAAATCCTGGTCTTGATTCTTTCTGATCTCTGGTGGAAGAAGTGGTGTGGAGGGACGAAGACAGGACAGAGAGAGCAGTGGGCTTTCCCTAGAGGCTTAAAGGGATTTTTCTGGCTGGTCTCAAGGCTGCAGTTAATAAAGCCTTTAGAGAGTTACCACAGGGATAACAGAAATCTAAATATTCCATCTAGCAATTAGAGAGTAATTCTAATTACAGTCATACGAACTGTTGGCCTTCTTGTCCTAATTACTGCACAGCATGTGAACAACTATAACTTTTCATTAAATGTATGTCAGATATTCTGTGTGATAAGTTCTACTAGACCAGAGCACTTGCCTCTATTTGGGTGTCCTGGGTAGCCCTCACTAGGGTTTTATGTGATATGGTCTTCAGTGTTAGTTTACACATAGCACACAAAAGTGACAGTGGCAGAGACTGTGTGTGATCACAGACAGACATTGGTGAGGATGTGAGGCAACCCCGATTCCTGCCTTGGGATGGGTTGTGGACAAATATTCCCAGAACATCTGCTCTGGGCCAGCACAGAGTAAACCTCTTCCTCCACAACCACACTGACATCAAAGGCTTTGCCAGCCTCCTTCTTGCCACACAGGGCCAGAGACACGGGAAGTCCCCTGCTCTTTTGATTCAATTTGCTATTCACCTTAATTTTCCTAAAGTGCTCAGTCAGTTTTTGGGATGCCAAAGGGAAAGTGATTTCAAAATGTGGCAGAAAGCAAAAAGTGCAAAATTTGTTGGGTTCTCTTCTGGGAAGGGTTCCTCCTGAGCTGGGCCCTGGCCTCCCTTTGAGAATATCTCACATCAGCAAAATATGTGCCAACACTGGGATTGTGTTGGTTAGTGCTCCCTGACACAGTTGTTCACAGTCTAGGTGTCTTCAGGTTGTTTCCCTCAGGCATGTCATACTCATTTTGTTTAACAAATGTTCTGGATACTACTATAGGAACTCATCCTATCTAATAAAGAGGGAATATTCCAGTTGACCATTATGACTCCACAAGATGGCAGCACCCAGTCCCCTCATCCCCCAGCCACCCAGGGCTGGCCTGAGGCACAGGCAAGTCTCAGATGTTGGCTGCTCAGCTGACACCTGACGTGCAGGCAAGCCTTGGATGTCAGCTGCCCAACCGCACAGGGACAGCCCAAGGCACAGGCAAGCCTCAGATGGTGGCTGCCCAGCCAAGGCCTGAGATGCAGGCAAGCCTTGGGTGGTGGTGGCTGCCCAGCCACCCAGGGCTGCTGAGGCTCAGCAACCAGGGCAAGCTTAGACTTTCACTGCTGGCAGTGGCAGCAGCAGTGGTGTGATAGGGCATTGCCTTCCCCTGATTGGTCACCTCTTGCTCCTGAGGGCTCCCAGACTGTGAGAGGGGGAAGGTTTTGCTGAGGGACCCCCCCTCCAGTGCATGAATTTTCATGCACTGGGCCTCTACTAGTATTATAATCGATAAGACTGTGATGAGCATTAAATGAGTTACTATTTTTCTCTTCCCAAAGATGTCCACTTTTGAATCCCAAAATCTGTGAACAAGCTTCCTTACATGTCCAAAGAGAATTTGCAAATGTGATAAGGTTAAGAATTTTGATATAGGAGTATTATCCTGGAATACTATCCTGGGTTGTCCATATGGGCCCAGCATAACCACAGGGGTTCGTATAAGAAGGAGGTAGGAGGAAGGGAGTCAGAGACTGAGATGTGCTTGAGGGACTGGAGGCCAGAGTGATGTGGTACCAAGAGCCAAGTACTGCAAGCAGCCTCTAGAAACTAGGAACGACAAGAACATGACTCTCTTCTAGAGTCTCCAGAAGGAGAAACACAGCTCCATCCACACCCTGATGTTCCCTTCACTAGGCTCACTTAGGACTTCTGTTATAGCAGCAACAGAAACCTAATACATCTTCATTAACCAAGGCACAGAAGGTTAAGAAATGTGGCCAAGGTCATAAGGAAAATGAATGACAGAGCTGAGACTCGGAGCTAGTCTGATCCTTTGCGCAGCCATTACACTTCATACTTCTTTTTTTTTTTTTAAATATTTTTATTGATTTTTTACAGAGAGGAAGGGAGAGAGACAGAGAGCCGGAAACGTCGATAAGACAGAAACATCGACCAGCTGCCTCCTGCACACTCCCCATCAGGGATGTGCCCGCAACCAATGTACATGCCCTTGACCAGAATTGAACCCGGGACCCTTCAGTCCGCAGGCCGACGCTCTACCACTGAGCCAAACCGGTTTCGGCTACTTCATAGCTTCTTGCCTAGGGCTGCCCCAGAGGCTGGTGTCCTCTCTGTTCACCAATAACCCAACAGAAAACAGTGCCTTTTTGCTCTGGGGGAATGGAACTTAATTGAAAATTACCAGGCAGGATGGAAGTAGCCTGAGCCAGAGGAAACTGCCTGGCTTCTGCATTCTGTCTCCCGACAGCATCACCACCCGGTACCCAACAAGGTGAACCAATTGCGTCTAAAATCCCAGCCCTGGGTTTCACTGAGAAGAAACCTGGATCCCCCTTCCCCTCTACATAGCGATGCATCTAAGGATGTTTCAAAAGGGGGACTCAAAGCAGGGCCTCATTGGCATTTATTTAAATTGTGCATAATTGAATACGTTATCTGCACCTAAAAAAAACCACATGAGGTACAGGCTCTCTAAAGAGGAAGTAATTTTCATTAACACAGTCTAAAACACCTACCTAATAATTGCCATGTGGTGAACCTGATGTTGCAGACAAAGGTTCTTATTCTTTCTAAAATTTTGTCCTCCCTTCCTCATTTCATTTGTTCCTCCATCCCTCCCTTCCGTGTTGGATCTGTATGTCAAACATATGTCTATTCAGAGAGGCCAGGCTAGTGGTGGCTGGTGGGTAGTGGCCACTGTGTAGCTGGGGCAGAGGTCATGCTTCCTGTTACTACAGACAGCTCATAGAAAGCCAATAACCTTGTCTCTCCTTCCTCAGAAGACTGCTCATTCTGTGCTTGGTGGAGAATATTCCACTTTTTAAATATATATATATATATATATATATATATATATATATATATATATATATATATAACACACACACATATATGTAAATTATATATATTATTGATTTCTTACAAAGAGGAAGGGAGAGAGATAGAGAGTTAGAAATATCAATGAGAGAGAAACATCAATTAGCTGCCTCCTGCACATCCCTCACTGAGGATGTGCCCACAACCAAGGTACATGCCCTTGACTGGAATCAAACCTGGGACCCCTCAGTCCACTCTAACCATTGAGCCAAACCTGTCTTGGCAACATTCCACTTTTAACTACATCTTCAACCCATATTTTCCCTCTAATTCCTTCCACTTAGCCCACAAACACTATCTTAAAAGGGGGGAGTGGGGAAGGGCTTCCAAGAACTAACCCTCCTTTGGTCACATTATCTTTCTAAAATGAAAACAGGAGCTTGTCACCCCCTTCCCAAAATGTCTGGTGGGGAATCAGCTCTTGAAGGGTTCTTCCATCTCTCCCCTGGCAACCCATCCTGGTCATGCTTACCTCGCCCCGCCCCTGGCCCTGATCTGAGCTGGAAGGGCGTAGGCACAGGGGCCACAGCACTGTAAGATGAGTACCCCTTTCCAACATCTGTGAACTGGGGAAGTGGGGAGATAGATATTCTATTAATATGGAAAACTTTTTCTTTCTGTTGAAAAGAGGTTTGTTACATACATTTGTAATCCAGAGTAATATGCCAATATTGAGCCAATTAAAATCTTGCTAACACTCTTCCTTGGCAAATGTCACATTATGACCTAGTAATAGTCGAGTTTCAGGTTTTAAGCTGCCTAAATGGTCCTCAGGAGACCGCCAGCTGTGGCCTCAGAGCAGGGCATGGCCTTCAGTTACACTGTGCCCCAAGCTTTGGAGAAACCTTTCAACCGAGACAGGCCTGCACCAGTGAGAAACCCTATCTCATTTTATTTCACTACTTTTTGTAACCACCACATGAAAGGGTTGTCTGTTTGCATGGACGTGGTTGGATATACATTTTGCCATTTATGTCAGGAGCAGTGTCATGGGTGGTACCTGAGTTAAAAGGTGCCAGGTTGTCAACATTTTCCAGTGATATTTTGGTACCCCGTACAGTTTGAGAGTATGCAATGAGTCCCTTGGTGGTGCACTCCTTAATCCAGTTTTGCGCTGTGAGTTCTCTCTGCAATCTTGACTAGGTTGGGGGTTGGACATTGGTGAGGCTGTTGGCTGCCCAGCCCGTGAGGTTGTAACCACGGCTCACTGTCCACCTGATGTCAGCATCCCTTTACTATAGGCAGGGCCTTCAGTGACGCCCACCAAGCAAGGCCTGCAGATCCACACCTGCAAAGTGTAGCTGAGCATGAACTTTCTCAGCAGATTCCCCAAGAATACCTGATACTCAGGGTGGAATGCTGCTTTCTATCCCATTCATGTTCTCTAACTTGACCTTAGTCTCTGTTGATTTTAGGTTGAAAGTAGGTGGGGTTCAGTATCAGGGCAAAGAGCTAGTATGGAGCGAGCCCAATCAGGGCAGGAGATAGCCAGGAACCTGCCAGTTCTGTCTGCATTTCAGGGTCTGGGACCAGAAAGATCCTGTGATGGGACTCCCTCTTGGCTCAGGTGACCTCAGGGTCACGTGCTGATGAACAGGCATCCAGTCACTGGAGAAGCACACCTGGGTGGCAGGAGCCCCTGGGGACAAAAGAAAATAGCCTGCAAGTATGGGCCAGGTGTGCAGGAAGGAGTCACAGGCTGAAGGAAAGCTTTGTAGCCCCTGGCTCAGCTGCTTGTAAGGTGAACCTTTTGGCTCAGGTGTGCCCATTTTCTTAGCTTCTCAATCCTCTTTTCCAGATTGTGACAATTTTGGCAAACATGTCTGTCCTGGAGCAGTGCGCCTCGGACATCATTCAGGAGAACGGTATGTGTTTTCAGCATGTGCATGTTGTATGGGTAATGTGACCATACAGAACTGCCGGCCTTTGTGTTTGTGTGAAGGCTACGTGGAGGCAATTTGTACATGTAGGTCTCCACAGTTGCATGAGCATGTATATGTGTGCTTATGTATGCAGCTGGGCCAATGTGGAACTGTCTGCGTGCCTTCATGAGGCTTCAATTCCAGTGGGAGATAGTGAACAGGAGATAGAGAAAATCAGACGATGGTAGTAATGTGAGGAAGATAAAAGGGTAAGGGGTAAGATAGACAGACCCAAGGTAGGAGGTTGGCAGTTGCTATTTTCACTAGGATGGTGAAGAGAAGACAAAGATTTCATTATGATCCAAAGAGTAACAATCCATTCCTACCAAAGGATGTATTCCAACTTTCAATCACTCTGATCTGATTGGCCTTAGCCTCAGTAGAATGCTGAAGAGCTTGAGGAGTGGGGAACAGGTCAGGGTCCGCCAGATCCCTCAACACCTAACCTGAGAGCATTGCTTTCACACTTTCTCCCCCTCCCACCTTGTGCTGGGTGTGTCACCATAGTCCATGTGAAATGGGCCAGGTTTCAGTGCATGGGTCCTGTAGAAAGATGATGGGACCCCATCCCCCCTTCACCTGGGAACAAAGTGAGGGCTTCCTGTGACTGGAAAATAAGGCATCAATTAGCAATGGGTTGGAAACCAGAGAGGCTAATGAGCCCAGCAGTTGCTTCTGCTCTTGCTAAACCCCCTTTTCCCAGGTTGCCCTGTGGTTTAAACAAACATGTTCCGCATCCCCATTGCTCTATAACTAATTGAAAAGATATCATTTCTTGTTCATTCTATGTGATGAGCTAATAATGAAAAACTTTCCTGAACCAGTTGGGAAGCTGGGAGCCCAAGGAGTGTCATTGTGGCCTATCCCTTCAGTACTTGGAGCCTTAAGTTCCAGTGGTCAGCAGGAGTGTAATACAGAGGCCGTGGATGTGGGATTGGACGATCTGGCATCTGTAGAGGGTTGTATGGTTCATAAAGTTCTACGGATGGGCTCCATCAGTCAATAGTTATTGAGATCTACTATGTGCCTGGTGTTGTGCTAAATAAATAAACATAGACATCAATAAATTCTTGCCTTTGTCCTGGAGGAGATCACAATCTAGAAGGAAAGGCCAACTTAATAAGAGTGACAACATGACAAAAGTGTGACATTCAAAATAAGACAATGCAATGGAGGGAGGGTAACGTAGCAGCTGATACTATAAAAACTGGAAATAGCATACTATTTACTAGCTGTATGACCTCTGTACTTCTATCTGCAAAATGGGCATAATAACAACATCTACCTCATAGGGCTAATGGGAGGAGAGCATGTGAGAAGTGTACCTGGCACAGAAATGAGCACTATGCCAAGGGTATCTGCTCTTTCAGGAAACAGTGGCAGTCCCCATGGCCCAACTGAAGAGAGTCTGATGAAGAGACTATTTACAAAAGTGGGCAGCACCCAAGGGATCCACAGTAATGATGACATTATTATGTTGACAGGCTGAACTTTGAAAAGGGTCCTCTTCCCAGGGCGCACTTGACTCTGATGTCTCTTGCCCTGCAGTCTGGTGCTGTCATCTCTGTCCTGCCCGAAATTGTGTATGATGTTGGTGATGGGGGGCTGGATGAAGGGCAGTAAGAGGTCAGATAAGTGCATGACCCTGAAAAGACACTTCCCTTCTCTCTGGGCCTCAAAGGGAATTATACTAATACCAAATTCAAGACTACTGGAGGTTTTAGTGGATTATGTACTTACTATGCATTTAACATGATGTCAGACATGTAGTCACAAAGCTCAGCAATAGCATTTAAAATGTGAAAAAGAATGTCCTCCAGAGGTTCTTTCCAAGTGCAGTGACTTGATACATGGAACGAGACACCCCGTGGCAGAAGGAGCAGAAGAGGTGGCCTTGTCTAGCTTCCTTCCAGTGTGTGATATTCCCTCAGTCTTTCCGACAGCCTCTACTCCAGCCCTGCAGCTATCCATCCAGCAGGCTCCTAGGAGAAGGCTCCCCACTGAGGTGGGTGCCAACTATTCATTGCCTCTTGTCCAGGGGTCCAGCTTATCATGGGCATGCTGTCTGAGAAGCCAAAATCTGGGACCCCTGCTGAGGTGGCAGCCTGTGAGCGAGTCCAGCAGAAGGCTGCAGTGACGCTGGCCCGTCTCAGCCGAGACCCGGATGTGGCACGGGAGGCAGTGCAGCTGAGCTGTAAGTGGTACTGGCTGTAGCGGGAATGGAGTTGGGGCGTGGGAGAGCAGCCTCGATTTCATGGTGGCCACAGAGGGCTGGCTGGAGTGAGCCCCACTCTCTGGGTGCTGAAAAATGCTGGCATGGAGGCCCGGGGTGCAGCCCTTAGTCTAGCTTGTAATTGGGGCTGAAGCAAGACAGAGGAAGGGCCTAGGGAGGTTTTAATTGGCCAGAACAATGACTCACCTGCAGACTTTCTGTTAATCAGAACTCCATTTCTTCATTCAACTAACACATTTCCTCATTCAGTTATTCACTTACTCACTTATTTACTCATTTGTTCATTTACTCATCAATTCATCCTTTTATTTTTCATTCATTAGCATATTTATTACTTTATTTATTCACCATTAGCTCATTTATGAATTCACTCATTCCTTCAGTTAGTCACTTATTTACCCAACAAATGCTGGGCTCTGTTCTGAGTGCTAGGGATATAACATCAACTGTAGCATTGTCCTGACCATAGGCACTTACACACCTATGGCGTGGCAGGTGTGAAAAGAAACATTTGCACTTGAATGTCATAGAGCAATGCTCAAAGCACGTCCATAGCACATTTGGTACACAAGGGAAGTAGCTCACATTCATCTGGGTGGGTCAGAGACTATTTTAGCAAGGAGGTGAGTCGTCAGCTGTGGTTTGAGGAGTTCTCCTGGTGTTAAGGTTGAGAAAGGACTCTCCAGGTAGAAACAGTACCATGCCTGTCCTCCAGGTAGGCACGGTTGGCAAGAGGTGACCCAGAATGTGTCACATACCGTTTATCACTATGTTATAATGAGGTGGTTTTTCTAAGTTTGACAAATGTTAGTTTGTACTGAAAAGCAGTTACTTATTTAACTTTTCTTCTCTGAAGGCCAGGCCAGTGGTCGGCAAACTGTGGCTCTCGAGCCACATGCGGCTCTTTCGCCCCTTGAGTGTGGCTATTCCACAAAATACCACGTATTCTAATTAAGTTAATAACAATGTACCTACCTATATAGTTTAAGTTTAAAAAATTTGGCTCTCAAAAGAAATGTCAAACATTGTACTGTTGATGTTTGGCTCTGTTGACTAATGAGTTTGCCTAGACAACATTAATCTACTCAATCTGTATTTTTCTAAAGTTTCAGCTATAATATTTTTTTTCTCTTTAAAAAATATGTTTTTTTAATTGATTTTTTAGAGAAAGAGGAAGGGAGAGGGATAGAGAGATAGAAACATCAATGAGAGAGAAACATTGATAGCCTGCCTCCAGCATGCCCCCTACTTGGGAATTGAGCCCACATCCCGTACATGTGCCCTGACTGAGAATCAAACTGGTGACCTCCAGGTGCATGGGGTGAGGCTCAATCCACTGAGCGATACCAGCTGGGCAACAACATATTTTCTGATAGACAGCTGAGAAATAAAAGGTGCCGACAGTTCCACTGATAAAGATGCAAACAGTAAATGTGGCTCTGGTAAAATCAGAGGTACCTTCACAGAACTAGGTCTTTAGAGAGAGACCTGTGCCACCTTGGCTGCAGTTTTAATCAAGTTCAGTCCCAGCCAGGGTTCTGGCACTTAGGGGTTTGGTTTTGACACTGCAGCTCATCCTGGCCCTGACGAGGGTCTGGTCACACCTGAGGGAGCAGGTCTCCACCATAAGCTCCTTCAGGTGGGTTCATTCTCCTTTCCCGGCTGCTTGATGGGCTGACAGGAGCCCTGGGAACCACCTGCTTCCGCAGGCCCCACCTGGAGAGCTGTGTGAGAGAGAGTGGAGCACCCATGGCTCAGGCTTGGCCAGGCTGGTCTCCACCCAAGGCTTGAGGCTTTCCATGTGTTTCATACAGGTATGTCCCGCCTCATTGAGCTCTGCCGATCGCCTTCCGAGAGGAACAGCAGTGATGCTGTGCTGGTGGCCTGCCTGGTGAGTTCTCAGTCTTTCCCCATTTTTCTCTCTGGTCAGGGTAGCTGGCTATGCCATGGTTGGCTTGCATAAGCCACGACACTTCTCTGGGCTTCACCTTTTCTCCTTAAAATGGAGGTAAGAGTAATACCTGTTCACTTAATTCATAAACTTGTGAAGAGAATGATATGAAGTCATGTGTGTGAAAGGTGGGAGGCTGGGGAGCCATAAACCTTTAGGTTCTCAGGAATCTGAACAATGATCAAGACTGAGTGGCTGGCGGCAGGTTGCTGGTTGGTGTTAGTGATGTCACTGTGCCTGATGTACGTGGGAGCTAGGGTGTGGATGTCCTCTGCCTCTTCCAAACTGGCACAGTGAGAAAGCTTCCCTCCCCTCCTTGGAAGGAAGCATTGTGGCTTCAGTCCTTCACAGTGGGAATTCCATCCACCCTAAGCTCTGGAGGCCTCCCACTGCCTCCAGGCCGTGTCTTCCTGGCTAAGCCAGAGTGCTATGAGCCACCTGACACTATCCTTGTCCTTTGGCCCAAGCAAATACCCTTTCTACAGCTCTGCCAGCACCTCCTTCAAGGCTTAGATCAACACACTTCTCCATGCAGCCTCCTGGGAGCTCTCCAGGTTCATGATAGGACCACACAGCATGCACCTGGGCCTGCCTGCTCGGATTTTGTCTTCCTCAGTAGGAGGCAGGTTGAGCTCTCTGGTGTGCTGAGTGTTTTAAAGGGAGGCTCTTAGAATTCAAACACAGGCCAGCCTGATGTTGAAGACCTTGACTTTTGACCAAACCATCTTATCTCCAGCCATGCTTTCTCCCCCATGCCTTATGGTCCTGGTCTTATTCCCTTGGCTCATGAGGGGATTTGAATTTACCCCCTTCTAACCTGGGGCCTTCTTGTGGTCGGGATCCTTTTCCAGTTCTTTGCTTCTCCATAGGACTTTGGGTTTGGTGACTATTTTTGGCTGGGTTGAGGAACTGATAGACTTGGCCTCCCTCAGCACCCCCTGTTGGTGAGGGAGTGTTGTTTGGTTGCCAGAAGGGCTTTTCTGTTTGAGTGCTGCCCCCCTGGCTGGTGAGACAGAGTTACTAGGTGCCTTGCCTGGTGGGTGGAGTTTGAGACTGCCTCTCTTGCCGGTCCTCAAGGTGTTCTTTCCAGCTTTAAAGGCTCCTTTCAGAGGGATGGAAGACATTTCAGTCATTGTTTCCCACATCTGCGAAAGTGGCAGCACAGATTGTCTCTTGCAAACAGGCTTGATTTTTCCTTAATGAAGCAGCTGTCAGTGGGCTGCTGGGCTTGTTAAATACTTACGTGTTTCCAGACTGTCTGTCTGGGAACGAGATCTTGAGATGAGTGGTTGTTAACTCTCCCGGGAAAGCAGAGGCTGAGAGAGAAGGGCTTTGGAAGGGTGGGAGGTCCAGTAAGTCCATTAAGCCCCTGGGCCCCGAGATGGTTTGGGTTCATGCCCTGTAGACTTTCTAGGGACCCTGGGTATCTATTTGCTTTTGTGTTTTTTCGGGTCTGTTTCTAGTTCTCTCTCTTGTGTTTTGTTTTTGCTTTTCTTTCCTTCTAGAGGTTGTCTCCTCAGAAATTTCTCTTTCTCTCCTTCGCTCCCTTTCTCTCTTTCTTTTTATGCCTCCCATAACCCTCTCTCCTCCTTTTCCTGACTCCTCATCTCTTCCTACCTCTCTCCTATGCTTCCTGCCCCGGGTGTGCTCTTTTTTTTTTTTTCTTCTTCTTTTTCATTTGTCATTACTAGTCTGTCCTTTTTCCATCTCCCTTTCATGCATGGGTTCATTTTTTTTTCCATCAGTTCATCTCTTTCTCTTTTGTTACTTTTTTCTGCTGTCTCCTTTTCTCTGTCTCTGCTACTTCTACCTTATTTTTCTCTATATGGGTTTATTTTCTCTATCTGTATAGTTTTTCTTCCTTCTGTCTTTTTGCTTTATTTTTATTCCTGTTGATGTAAAATAGATCAATGGTCTCACCTCTTCTGCTGAAGATCCTGGCTTGTTTTTACTCAAGGGTAATGGAATCAAGAGCAGTCAGAAAGTGTTATGGAATCAGCTTCTCTAGCCCTGAGGGAAATCATGCCCAAGGGGAAATAGGATACACTAATAAGAGATAATCTCCTGGAGCCTCCTTCCTGCTACTAGTGTCTCAGACCCTATCCATGGCACAGAGGCACATGCCCCTCTTATCCCAGTGGACATGGCAGAGCCTGTTAGTCCCACAGCCAACTAAAGCCATCTCCTTCCACTGACTTGATGATTTCTCAGCCATAGGTTACCTCTCATGTCTAGGTAATAAGTTCTATGCCCTCCTTAAATGCAATATAAACTAGTGTCCCGCACTTGCTGCATCCTGCTGTGTGTGTGTGTAGGTATGAGAGCTCTGAAGTTGAACTTCTGTGTGATCTCAGGAAGGCCTTAGTGTATTTATTTCCAAATTGAAGATCACGATACTTACTTTGAGGTATCCTGTAAGGATTAAATGGAACACTAGGTTCTTTCTTCTTTGCTTCTTCTGCCACTCCAGATATTGTCCCCTATCTTTGTTTCCCAGGGGAAGGACATCCTTAAACTCTCACCTTGTTTCCTGATGTGTACAGGTTCTAGAAGAGGGAAGGAATTCCTATTTATTGAGCACTTAGTATGCATTACTTCAGCTCCCTAATAAAGAGGTCTATATAGATGCACAGCTCACATGAGCAGCTTCAGGTAGTTCTAGCAGTAGACTCGGTGTTAAAGCACTTAATTGGATCCCTTTTCTCAGCAAACAATTATTGAGTCCCATGCCAGCCCCTGTTTTACCTGCTGTAGATACAGAAAAAAACAAACCAAAAACAGAAAACAAGCTAACAGTCTGTACCCTTAATGAGCTCAGAGTAGATACACACTTAAAAGACAATTGCAGTCATGGATGAGAAGGTTAAGGTCAGTGCAGGGACTGTGCATGCACAGGGGAAGGAGGAACAGGGGAGGCTTCTTAGAGGAGATGACAGTGGGACAGGCCATGGAGGATGAATGCAACTCTTGGCTAGAAACGCGTGGGAGGGGTTTCATGTCATAGAAAGGAGCTGAGGAAAGGCACATGGGTGTGAAACAGGACAGCATATTCAGGAAAGTGAAACTGTTTGTGAAGATGTGAGCAGTGATTTCATTCTGCTTGCACCTCTCTTTCCTATTCATCCACATCTTAGTGACAGAATCTTCACTTCCTTCAACTTTATGAGCTTCCTTCCTCTTTCTTTATTTCTTCCCTCTTCATCTCATAATGCTTTGCTCAGAACATAGCTGAATTTATGGATAAGTGAATAGCCCTTGCCATTCTAAGGTTCCTCTAAGGATCTGGAAGCATCTACTGATGGCCCTGGCAGTTCTTGTCTATAAGATGACCATATATTTCATTAAAGTGACCAGATCCTTAAAATGACGGATATTGAAAACAACCAGGTTCCTAGGATGGCAGAAAAACAAAGATGGCAAGGCCATTATTAAGATCATGAAGACTTTCAGATGACATCCACCATGGTGACCAAGGTGCAAATGAAACCAGGGGACCAACTGATACGATTGCTATGATGATCAGGTGACAAAAGAACCAGATGACTAAAGGTGTTAAGGTGACAATCAGCTCAAATTACCTGGTAAACAAGCCACTTCCTGAAATGCATCTCTCTGGGACTTGAAGAAAATACATGCACCTGAGCGGAGCCCAGTCCAACTCGTGTCATCTCTTCTGTTTTCTTCCCAGGCTGCTCTGCGTAGATTGGCTGGGGTCTGTCCTGAAGGCCTCCAGGACTCCGACTTCCAGCAACTGGTCCAGCCCCGGCTTGTGGACTCTTTCTTACTTTGCAGCAACATGGAGGAGAGTTTTGTGTAGCTAATGTGAGAGAGGAAAGACATTGGCCCCATTCTCTTGCCCTCTGCGTACACACTTGTGAACACATCTGAGTACATACCAGTCCCATCACCTCATTATTTATACTTAATTTATTTTTTACATGAAGTGGACTTAGGGCTAAATATCCTAGCAACATCATCAGGCAGTCTGTGTTCCTTGGGAGTCTTTTTTGTTTTTATTTTTTGACTTCTGTGACTTTTCAGTTGCAGATGTTGAAATGCATAATGGCTAATATGACAGATTGTCATGGGTGATTTCACTCATCTTGCTTTCTCTACTCTCACTATATAATCTTGCCTCATTTTTTAAAACTTGGCAACTAAAGTATTATAACTATCTAGAATTTTTTAAAAAGTGGATTTGCTCTTTTTAAAAGATTTTAAATGAAATTCATAGTTGGATGAAATATACTAGAAGGAAACTTATTCTTTAATAAATGAAATCATACTAAATTTGTCTTGGATTTTTCTGAATAAATTAAGCCTTAGACTAACTTCTTGCTTCCCAAGGTTTTATGCCACAAAAATTTCCCACTGTTAAAACTGCATAGAGAATTGTCTTTTTTTCATAAGTACATAAATGGGTAAAGTTCTAAGTTAGTGGGAAATAAAAAGTATTTCCAAATTCTCCAGAAATTCAGCTTCTCTTAGCTTTTTCACTTTTGTGTAACCTCGTGATGAATAGTACCTCATCAAAGGTATACTTGAAGTAGTGGTGTGGTGGATGATGTAACCTTTGTGATGGGGTTCAGGATCTGAAGGAGGGGCCGACGTACAAATGGAAATGCTATACAAGAAATATGAATTTAGAAGGCATTGGAGGCCAGATGGAGCCTTTTTCTTGAAGAGACACACCGAAACTTGGTCCCATCTGCTTTTATTCAGTTTTTAAAAATATATATGTATTTTATTGATTTTGTACAGAGAGGAAGGGAGAGGGATAGAAAGCTAGAAACATCCATGAGAGAGAAACATCAATCAGCTGCCTCTTGCACACCCCCTACTGGGGATATGCCGGCAACCAAGGTTCATGCCCTTGACCGGAATTGAACCCGGGACCTTTCAGTCCCCAAGCCGATGCTCTATCCATTGAGCCAAACCGATTTCAGCTGCTTTTATTCAGTTTTAGATACACACCTTGCCCTCAATCAAGCCTGGCAAACAGGTAGCAGACAGACCATATCTAATGTCAATAAAGATCAGTAAAGATCAGGAAGGTCTAGTAAACATTTACTTGGAAACTATCAGGTCAGGAAATTGCTTTGAGCCACCACTAACAACATGAATAATCAGCCCTACTAAGGCTCAAGGTCCACTGGCCTTCAGCGTTCCTTGGTGTACTCTCATGATAGTATTGGCAAGTGGTGGCTTTCTGCAGCTGGAACTTGCAAGGAACCATTGGGAGGATTTCCTCTCGATTCCACATTCACTGACCTCATGTTGGTAGCTTGAAATTGGCAACAATGAGAATATTTACACCGTAGAAATTGGCAGATACTACAAAGCAGAGATTTAAAAAATATCCTCAACCAAGGGCATGCAGAGAGAGAAAGAGAGAGAGAGAGAGAGAGAGAGAGAGAGAGAGAGAGAGAGAGAGAGAGAGAGAGAGAGAGTAAAGAGGAGAGGAGAGGAGAGGAGAGGAGAGGAGAGGAGAGGAGAGGAGAGGAGAGAACATCAATGTGATGAAATCCTCAAACCACCCTGGTCCCCCTCAATTTTACAGTCTAAAGGTTGACTGTGTGCTTGGCTATATCTGTGAGCAGCTTCTGGGCTTTCAGGAGCTGCCTTAGCTAGGCCCCAGGCCAAAGAATCCCACTTTAAGCTCAGAATAAGAGCCCTTCTTTAGTTCAGTGGCTTCCTTTACGTTTGTCTCAGGATCAGTCCTAATGCTGATCCTATTTAATGACTGCCTCCTACATGCAGTCATTTTTACCATGTATTATGCCTCATAATTTTCACATTTGTGAGTAATTAATATTCCCACTTATACCCTCCATTACAGATGAGGAAACTGAGGGCTAGGAGAAGTTAAGTAATTTTGCCAGAATCAAACAGCTAATGCTGATGTGGGGAGTATATGAACCCACATGTCTCTGACTTCAGAGGCCAATTAGGAAGGAAGCAGGACCTTTGCACCAGACACTTCTAGAAGGTAAGTGTGGCTCTGGACCTATGTAGAACATTATCCTCCAGCAAATGTATCATGAGGTTCTATTCTGGGCCCAGGAAAGAAAAGTAAAAATAACTAGTACTGGGTTACCTGTGAATTTGAACTGGAGGATGCTGGGTTAGTTGTCAGTAAGTCAATCCCTTTAGAAAAGTTATAAAGCAAAAATAGTTTAAACAAATAGGAGCTCTATAGCCTATCCTGGTTTGAATCTTGGCTCTGCACTTACTAACGGTATGACTTCTGGCAAAGTACATAACCAGTCTGTGTCTCAGTTTCCTTAACTCTAAGATGGGATTAAGGATATTGCCTTAATCATAGAGTTGTGAGAATTCAGTACACTAATACATGGGAAAGGCTAGAATAGTCTCTGATGACAAGTGCATAAAAAATGTGGCTATGAAGCCAACCAAATCTTACTTTTGCATCTCTTTAGGTTCCTTGGTCCTTCTTGATGGTGCCTCAAACATAGACTCATAGTGTGTTAGAAACGAAGTCTTATTCTGTGAGGATGGAAAGGCCATCCCATCCATATCTGCACCCCACACTCAGGAGTAATGAGTCTTGCCTAGAATTATACAGGTAATTAAGGGAAAGGCTGGGGTTTGGATCAAAGAAGTAACTACTACTCCCCATAGCTGCCATTTTTTTTTTTTTTAAAGCATCTGCTCTGGCTGGGAACTGTAACATACACCGTTTCATTCAACTTCTAAAATGACAATGCTGAGTTATTATCAATTCCTTTTTACAAGCAAGAAAACTGAGGTTCAAAGAGACTGTCCATCTTACCCAAAATCTCACAACTGGTAATGGAAGACCAGGATTTGACTCCAAAATCTGAGATCCTTCCACTTTGGTAAACACAGTATTTGACAAATGTATTCATGTATGTATAAGCCCAACACCATGCTTGAACTTAAAAATAGTATCATAGCACTTTGGCAAATTCTGAACTTCCTTTTTATTTGAAAACAAAAACAAAAACAAAAACCCTACACATTTGAATTTTAATTATCTGATTTTAAGAACTGATACCAAACTTTAGTTATTCATTTGTTAAAATTGCAGTAACAGACATGGAGATTACTTCAGGGAGAAAGGATAGGAATAAAACAATGACATATAAAAATAATCAAAGTAAAAATCCTATATAGTTTATGATTAATACCATGAAAATCTCTAAAATAGGTACTCCGTAGTCTAGTTTCAGAGTAGAGCCTCAAAGACAAATCCAAATCAATTGTGAATGTTATCAGCTCCGTTTTAAAATCAATACCAGTCTTTGGGAACAATTGTTTTAAATCTGTCTTTTTTGTTAGAAGTATCTGATGGTCTATTTGTAGGAATTCCATTTATATCCACAATATTATAGCATCCTTCCCCATGAATTTTATTCATGGTTTATCATACAGCTTTTGGGGTTATTCATGACTGACAACAGAAATGAGAGGATATGTGTGTGTGTGTGTGTGTGTGTGTGTGTGTGTGTGTGTCCCTCGAGGGAAACTATGAGTCCAAATAGAAGTTCTTAGAAAAATCCATAAAAAGCTATTTGTATATTTTGAAATTTTGGGATTATATAAAAACAAGAATCTTGTCAATTTATCTACAGCATTTATATGGCATTGAAAACAAAGTCAATGGCCTCTCTCTTCTCCACCCTGAGACTTCATCATTTCCACCACAGGCTTTTCCCACTGTCATACTTTAATGCAGAATCATTTCTCAGTTTGGTGCATGCCGGTATAATGGGGATGACCGCTGGGACAGGGGAGTCAGGCTCTTGGAGTTTCTGCCTTAGGGAAGGCGGGGAGAGGGAAGCTTTCAGTGCATTTCAGCCCCATTTTCCAGGCTGCTTCCAGTGTGTGTGCTTTCTGCTGAATCCATGTGTGCCTTGAAGTAGGAGATGGCAGGAGGCACATGATCGTTTTTAACAGTCCTTGAAAAATTTAGTCTTTAGATCGCACACATGTTAAAATTTAATAATAAACTTACCTAAACTTCTAAAGTTAAAAGTTCATCTGGGGAGTTTCATGTGGTTTGTCATAAATGCTTCATATGACCCATTTCGAGGTCCTTCCTGCCTCCCATAGGGGTGGCACTTTCCTTTAGGAGGATCTTGGGAAGAATTAACAAAATTTGAACATGACATTGCAAAGGCCCATGCAGCAGACAAAGAAAGTAGAGATCTTTCCTTAAAGCTCATATTCAACCTCATTTCCCACATGCAGAAGACAAAGCTCATCTGATTTCCCAGCATTTTCCTCAAGGGCCTCGTATTTGGAAGTGACATGCGGCTCTTCCATAGGGATTCTTCAGAGAGTGATAGCAATGGAGGGACACAAAAGCAGAAGGTGCTCACTGGTGCCAGAGGTGACGCCATCCAACAGGAAGAAAGTGGCCCTGAGCTGAGGCAGTCACTACCTCTTCTTCTGAGGCTCCTTCTCAGAAAGGCTCCCGGCACACCATCCATGCTGGTGACTCAGAGTCAAATGACCAGTGGACCTTTTTACTTTTTCTAAGAACTTTCCCAGGTTGGCCATCTCCTTGTCTATCTCTTGGCACCTGAGTTTGACAGCTTTGTGGAGTACTTGCACATGCCAGTGGGCCTTCCTCTCCTCCCCTCGGTTGGCTACATGAGCCCACCTCAGTTGTGCTGTATCTTCCACCTTTAAGATCAAGACATTCTTCATCTTACTGAATCCCAGGTCAGCCATGGCTGAAATCCTGGCCAGGGGTGATCCCAGATAAGCAGGTGTGGTTCTGGGCTGTGCACTTGCAAGAATGTCTGTGAGCCTTTCCATAGCTTTCAG